GCCTGGCCTGCTGTGTTCACCCAGCTCTACACCTTCAATCATGACTTTCCCTGCATGTTGTAAAGTATGCACATCTCACATTGGATTTATCAACCATCTCAGAATTCATCAAATCAAAATGGAGACAAGTAATTTTTGACCCCAAGAAAACTCAGACTTTTGAAGGTCACAACAAAAGACATTAGACATGTCCCTCCAACAGAGGTGAGGATCTTGCGTTTGACAAGGCATGTCAACAGACACAGCACTCATGTTTGTCAAACTGAAATGAAACTTCTTCATTTTAGGCAGTTACAGGCCAGGGACATCCATCATATCATAGATTCCCATTTCTCCACATGCATTGCCTTCAATGTACAAACAGACAAGATATTAGAATTTGTTCTCCATATCATTTTTAACCTCGAGCAAATACTTACCACTCTTCTGTGACAATTCCAGCTGTGATGAATGCCTGAGAATTTATAATAGCATCAACAGGTCAATTCATATTGATATGAAAGGAAAGCTTGCTCAATTGGCATCTGAATACATTTATAATTCAAATCCTATTCATATTTTTTCTTCCCCTCTCTTTTGTTTATCATCTTAGACCTCTCTGTGCATTGGCATGAATACATTTGCTGATGTATTTTGCATGCTTTTTCCCTGTGCACAGCTTGTCATAATTTTTTTGAGTTTTAGATGCATTATATGAAATTGGCCGCCTGTATTGCTTTGCCCAATTTTGTCATACACCACATGCTTTGCACATGTTTTGGTAAGATAGCTGATTCTGAATTACATGAATCAGGCCACATTTACCATAAGGTTATGGTTGTTGTACCAATTGACATAGTCATCCCCAGCTATTAATTATTGGCCTCCAGCTACATTGGTTTCAAATTCCTTTCAATATTAAAAAATTCCTTACCTAAGATAGGATATATTTGCTATAAATGGAGTTCAGTGAACATTCAGAGGACTGATCCTGGGATGACAGGTTTGTCATTTGAAAAGAGATTGGATGAACTAGGCCTGTGTTCACTAGAGTTAGAAGAACAAGAGGAGTTCTCACTGAAACATATAAAATTCAGACAGGCCTGAACAGGATGGGTGCATGGATGATGTTCCCACGGAGTGAGGTGGGGGGGTGCAGTTGGTTGAAGGAAGGGGGAGTGTGGTAGGAAGTGTGGTGGGGGGAGTCCATAACAAGGGGTCTTGGTCTCAGGATACAGGATAGACCATTTAGGACTGATGAGGAGAATTTCTGTTTTACTCAGTGGTGACCCTGTAGAATCCTCAATCAGAGAAGGCAGTGGAGTTCAGGTCACTGAATATATTTAAAACGGAAGTACACCGGTTTCGAGACACTAAAGGTGAGGAGCTATGAGGAGAGTGTGAGCATGGCATTGAAATGGAAGGTCAGCCCTGATCATTTTGAATGGTGGAACAGGCTCAGTGGGCTGAATGGCCTACTGTAGCTGCTATTTCATATGTTTCTAGTGCATTGGTTCTGTATACCTCTTTTTCATGGGTCTGTTTGAAGGGCTTATATTTGGTAAATGTAGTGACTAATACAAAAGCCTGTTCCAACGAATCAGCATCTAAAGGATTGTGCTCCTAGGCTTTTTTTTTTTTGGTACCTTGCCACAAATTGGTCACTGAAACAATCTTGTAACTGCTGGTATAGCTTTAGCTGTAACCCATGGATGCAGAAGTTGTATTTTCCCTTGAGTTGATTTTCCAGGAATGTCAATCTCTTGCTGGGTGTTGTACCAATTAAAGATCTATCAATCTTTACTCATTGATCAGTCCCTTAATGCCCAGTGCAAACTTGATTTTGACAGCCTGTTTCTCTGTTTCACTCACTCCTTGATCCAGGAAACATTGTTCCATTCATTGATGAACAAATTTGAATTAATGCATTATATCGGATGTATTGTGAGTGCTATATTTTTAGTTCTATTTGTTGATATATGACGTGTGCACCTAAGAAGCAGAGATACCATTTTAAAAAAGAAAGGTTATATCTTTCAGAAACAACAGGTCAAAACTCATAAATAAATGATAAAGGAGAATGATGCATTGTTTGGGGAATATAAAAGTGGACAAGCTATTACACCCCTTTAAGTGAGTGCAAAATTAACAAGAATCTTTTCAAACAAAGCAGGATTTGAAAAATAAAATGAAATTCCCAGTTGTTTGTAAGGTATCACAGGATTGTTAATGGTACAGAAGGAGGCCATTTGGTCCATCTTACCTGTACCAGCCGTCTGCGAATTTTAACTTGTGCCAATCTCCTGCCTTTTCCTTATAACCCTAGACATTGCTTTCTTTTATTTAAAAAAAAAAATCCAACACCCTCTTGAATTACCAAATTGATCCTAACTCCATCACATTTCAGGCAGTGCATTGCAGACCCTAAGTACACGCTGTGTGAAAAATTGTTTTTCTTACCTGGCATTTGCATATAATGGCCTGAGATGGAGGGTCTATGAAAATGTTATGGCTGGAAAAGCAATTGGTCAAGCAAAAATAACATAGTCTATAAAATTAGAAGGAAGCTCTGAATTTGTGCTGAGTCTAACTCTAAGTAGGTTGGCCAAGAGTATATTTACAGAATCCTTCCTTTCAAATTAATTCAAGTAGACCATATAAGATTGCTTAAAGATTAGAGCAGGTAGATTGGATAACCTTTTCTTCTTCCATCTTTGTATTCCAAATTGAAGCTAAACTGTATTTAAAGTTACTATCAGTCTTAACTAGCAGTAGTGACTTAGCAAGAAGCTGAGCAAGTGTTGCCCACATTTGCTTTCTATCAAAGTGTTGATGCTGAAGCCTGGCAGCTTAATGGTGGGGCTATAGATTCTGAAAATATGAAATGAAGCCCACTGATTATGTAGTGTCTTTTAAATGAATTTGCTCATAATAGCTGCTAGGGAAATGGGATTGGTGTGGAGATAGGGGTGTGTGGCATGGTTTCCTGTTTTTAAGGCATAACTGTGTAAGCCTTTGGAGAATATTCAATCCCATTATGATTTTCACGGAAGCCAAATCTCAACATGATTATTTCTATCTCTCAATGTTCTCTTTAATGAATTTGTTCCTGTTGAGCATCAACAAACTGTTACAGGACAAGGTGGATTGAACAAATTTGCACTCCCAGCATGTAAAGATCTGTACCAGGAATGCATATCATGCCAAAATATCAGCATGTGGGAGTGAATTTTTTTAATCATTCAAATGAGCAGATTTATAAAATTTATGCTGTGTTCTGTACATTCTATGGTGAATAAAATAGAAAACGCCTTTCCAAAATAAAGCGACAGAATCAAACTATATGTAGTATTGAAGGGAAACAAATCCATCGAATTATTGCAAATATTGATTATGTACAGTGCAAAATGGTCAGACTAGGTGATAATTTATTAACAGAAACAAAATTATAGCTGGTGGTAGAAGATGGGATTGAAATAAGTAGTGATGTTAAAAAAAAGTAATATGCACATGGATATAAAAATTCTCAAGAAAGAGATATTGCTGAAGAAAGAAGCATGGACAGAAGCATTTCTGCATTTGATTTAATATCTAATTAACTTTTTACTCGCATTCTTCACTCTAGCTACCCATATAAAGGTACTTTGTATAACAGAGCAATTATGGTTATAACAGAGATAACAAGGTGTAGAGTTGGTTGAACACAGCAGGCCAAGCAGCATCAGAGGAGCAGGAAAGCTGACTTTTCGGGTCGAGACCCTTTCTCCAGCATCGGCAGTTCCTACTATCTTCTCCAGCATCGGCAGTTCCTACTGTCTCTGTTTCTCCAGCATTGGCAGTTCCTACTATCTCTGTCTGCTCCTGTGATGTTGCTTGGCCTGCTGTGTTCATCCAGCTCTACACCTTATTATCTCAGATTCTCCAGCATCAGCAGTTCCTACTATCATGGTCATAACCGAGATTATTTGAGGTAGTTAAGCCTTGTATCAAATTAATATTCTTATAATGACATGATCAAATAATTAAACTTCCTGTAAATTTCTGTGAATGAGATTTCATGTTTAAATATTCCCATGCACACCACCAACTTGCAGTATTTTCTGTAAATATTAATATCTGAATGGCATTTGTCTATTTTTAATTCTAGCTTCAACAGATCTGTTGACCAATCCCATGGAATCTCGACCAAATGAGAAGGATGAAATGGCATTACTGAATGAAATTCTAAATGGCACTGCACTTGAGGAAGGTGACTTTAGCAAGGAATGGCAAGCAGTATTTGGAGAAGATCTCAGTTTACCTAGCAATCCAGCAGCTGGAGAATCAGACCAATCACCTTCTCCTTCAGGCTTCCTTCCTTCTCAGTTGTTTGACAAAAGCTTGGGTGATGCATCATTTTCAGTTACCAGTAAGTATGAAAGGCTATCACTTGAAAGCAACACCTACATAACTATTTAAATCAATTACATTGCGTGCCTTTAAATTGCTTACCTAGTTACTCATTGCAATGACTTTCTAAATCTACGGTGAAACTGAACCATTTAATATTAGTTTAATTTTCAATAACAGTGTGCTATTTAATTTTCATTAACGCAAATCACTTTTACAGGTCACTTTTTGACTATATATTTATGTAGGTTATCTACAACTTCTCCTAATTAGTTTGGGAATCCATTTAAGCTAAAGTGCAATGTTTGTCCATAACTATTTGCATTTATTTTCCTTAACGATTAATAGTTACAAATTCTTGGTCATATCAATTGTTGCCAAAAAAGAGCACTTGGATTGTTCCATAATACCTGTGCTACTCTGTGTGTAAAAGAAAGTCAACAAAATGATAAAGAAATGAAAAGCTACTAAAAGTACAGATATTGGGAAGGAACACTCCAGCAGCCTTAATATATATCTGGGAAACAGGCAGCCAAAATTTGGAAAATCATGAAGTTATGTTTGGTAATGTTTTGTGATTTTCCAACTTTTGCCTGTTTGCTATTTGAGGGTCTGATTGCTGCCATGGCCAGAGGACTTGTGTAGAAAGGCAGCACACAAAGCTGAAATCAGTGTAATGCTGCTTAAATTTGTAAATTGATTTCCAGTGCCAGTTGGCAGGCTGTAAACAAAATATTCAAGTGCAAATGGGTTTAAATTGTGCTGTCTGTGCCCTGCCTATTTGCCCAAGATGATGTGCGACCTAACTAGTAGCTAATTCTATATTGTAATGCAATTTTTTTTAAATAGGACAAGGGTAAGCAATACTACTCCTCCTGGGCTTGCCCATTAACAACCTTCCAATCTATTGCCTGTCTGTTCATGGCCATCCTAAGAATGAACCACCCTTCCCAAGATCTGACATTTGTTTTATTCATTCGTGGGATGCAGGTTTCACTGGCTAGGCCAACATTTAATGTCTTGTGAAGGTGTTGGTGAGCTATCATCTTGAACCCATGTGGTAATTGGTGACTAAGGACACTGCAGTGCTGTTAGGAAGGGAATTCCAGGATCTTGACACACCCAGCAATTTAGTTCCAAGTCAGGATGGTGTGTGACTTGAAGGCAAGCTTGAACATGATGGTGTTACCTTGCATCTGCCGCTCTTGTCTTTCAAGGTAGTAGTGACTGTGGGTTGTAAGGTGTTGTTGGAGTAATCTTGGTGATTTACTGTAGTGTATCTTGTACTCAGTACACACTGCAGCCATCGTACATCTGTGGTAGAGTGAGTGAATAAATTCGAATGTAGTGAATGTCAGTTGAACGATTTTGTCCCGGATGGTGTCAAGCTTCTGGAATGTTGTTGGAACTACACCTGTCCAGGCAAGTAGAAATATTCACTCACACACCTGAGGTGTATTTTGTGGATGGTGGGCAGGCAGTGGGAAGGCAGGGGGTGAGTTACTTGCCACGTGAGTCCTACCCTCTGACCTTTTCTTGTAGCCACAGTATTTGAATAGTCCAGTTCAGTTTTTGGTCAATTGCAACGCCCAGGATGTTGACATTTGGGGTTACAGTTTTAGTAATGCCATTGATCATAAAAAGCAATGGTTAAATTCTATCTTGTTGTACATGGTCTTTGCTTAGCACTTGAGTAACATGAATGTTACTTGTCACTTAACACCCAAGCCTGGATATTGACCAGGTCTTACTGCATGTGGGTACAGATTACTTCAGTATCTGAGACAGTGTGAATGCTGCTGAACACTGTGAAATCATCAGGGAAAATCCACACTTCTGGACTTTATGATAGAGTTAGTATCATTGATGAAGCACATGAAGATGGTTGGACAGTAAGATACCTTTAACCCCTACCTTCCATTGACTAGGGCCCCTTGATGCCAACTCAATCAAATGTGTATCTCAGTTGGAAAGAAGTTGATTGAGGATGCCAAAAATTCAAGCATGTTGTACAATCAATGAAATGCAAAATAATCCATCTCCAGGTTCTTGCTACGTGATGGCAAGATAGCCAACCTTCCTTCTGAGGAGGAAGGGATTAATTGTTAAGCAAGAATCTGATATTTGAACTCTCACCCAATTATCACATGGCAGTTCTTCTCACCATCTGTTGGGAAAGAAATCAAACTACATGTTAACATGTATGTGAGTAGAGTTGAGGACCTGTCTAGGAAAGAAAGAGCCTGACGGGCCTCCTAGCAGTAGTCAGGATGTGGGGAAGAAAATAAATTCGGAGGTAGAAAAGGCATGTAAGAAAGGCACTGTTACATTAATTATGGGAGACTTCAATATGCAGGTGGACTGGGAAAATCAAGCTGGTAGCAGATCTCAAGAAAAGGAACTCATGAAATGTCAGAGATGGCTTTTTAGAGCAGCTTGTGGTAGAGCCCACTATGGAACAAGTAATTGTGGATTTGGTGATGTGTAGTGAGACAGACTTGATTAGTGAGCTTAAGGTTAGTGGGCCTCCAGGGGGCAGTGACCAAAATATGATAGAATTCAGCCTGCAGTTTGAGAGGGAGAAGCTCGAATCCGATGTAACTGTATTACAATTGAGTAAAGGTAACTACCAAGACGTAAGGAAGGCGTTGGTCAGAGTTGATTGGAAGGGGAACCTAGAAGAGAACACAGTGGAGCAGCAATGGTAGGGGTTTTTGGGATAATTTGGGAGGCACAGCAGTAATTCATCCCAAGGAAGAAGAAACATACTATGGGGAGGGCGAGCCAACCATGGCTGACAAGGGAAGTCAGGGACAGCATAAAAGGAAAAAGTATGCAATGTGGTGAAGATTTGTGGGAAGCCAGAGGATTGGATGCCTTTAAAAACCAGCAGAGGATAACTAAAAAAGCAATAAGAGGGGGGAAGAAGATAAAATGAGAGGAGGCTAATGTAATTTAAATTAAGATAGCAGGAGTTTTTTTACATGTGTAAAAGGTAAGAGAGAGGCAAGAATGGACATTGGACAACTGAAAATGAGGTTGGAGAAGTAGTAATGGAGAGTAAAGAAATGATGGAGGAACTGAATAGGTCCGTTGCATCACTTTTGACAACAGATGACATCAAAATACTAGAATTTCAAGAGAGTCAGGGTGCAGAGGTGACTGTAGTGGGCATCAGTAAGAAGCTGGTCCTGGAGAAGCTGAAAGATCTGAAGGCTCAATTGGACATTATGCCTGAAAAATCTAGAATTTTTTGAGGAGGTAACAAGCAATTTAGATAAAGGAGAGCCAATGGAAGTGATCTGTTTGGATTTCCAGAAGGCCTTGGACAAGGTGCCACACAGGAGGCTCCTAAATAAGATGAGAGACCATGGTGTTAGAAGCATCGTAACTGATCACATGACAGCATTATTATTCTGTTTGAACAGTTTACTGTTCAGAAATTAGAAAATAATTACAAAATTTTGATGGATTCTTTTTGTAGTAATATTCCATTATGATTTTCAAAATTAGTCTTTCATTTTTGAAAAATAAATGTATTGTCAATTGGGTAACAGTGATTTCAAACAGGATATATGAATGTGTTGATTTACATACCAAGTAGACAACAATGATGGATGTAAACACTTTTAGTGTCAGTCTTACTATCAGGAGGCTTGCAGCTGAACTGACCTTGGTTAAATAATTTAAATTATTGTGTTACTTGAATACATGTCACTCACCAAAGCAGCTAAAGTGTTGGAGTAGAGAGAGAAAAAACTCCAATGAAGATTGTGTAGCTTCCTGCTTCATTTTTAAACGAAGAGAAATAAATGTTTTATTCTTGATTTGGAAAATGCGAAAACTGTTAAATGAAAGGACCAGCCCTATTGCATGTAATTTTTATATTTCATACAAATTATTTTTATTTGCAAGAATTTTTAAAGTTATTTTTCCCTTTTTCTTCTTGTGACTTCGGACACCACACTGCATCCATAGTTGAGATGGAATTGACAAACTTCATCCTGAGCATTTTGTTCTAAAAGTGATTGTTGAAAATGATCAAGGGCATCCTGGAAATCCCAAAATGCCTGATGCCAGCTGAGATCAAAATTTAAAGCTCGAGTTACCAAAAAGAGAACATACACATATCACCAGTACTTTGGTGTATCAAATCGTAATTTTGGATTAAGAGAGAGTCCACTTATATTTACTCAAAGCAAAAATGAAGAATTCATCAAATATGAGGATGAGCGAGAAGTGCACATAATGTGAAGAAGACAAGACCTTCATAATGGCTCAAATTCCACAATTAAATGAGGTAGTATTTAGTGCCCTCCTGTCTCAGTGGGCATTTACTGAGGTGGGAGGGTGGCAGCTGGTGATCCACCCTTGCTGCTGTTAAGGTCCTTGAGTGGGCAATTAATGTTCTCCTGCCACTGCTGCTGTTCACCCAAAGGTAGATGGACCCTTACGACAGGCAACTCAACTTTCTGCTATCCTCAATCTGCCACAACTTCTCCAACCAATACTACATGTCTGGGTCGTTTAGTGATCCTGGGCCTCTGGAAAACATGGTACTACCAGCAGCCACCACTTCCTTGGTGACACTGCTGAACAGTGAGGTGCTGTCTTCCTTTGGCTTGATGGATGGATTTTCTACCTCCAGAATCCTTAAGGCCAAGAAAGGCACATCGTTGCCCAGTTTGGTGCATGAGTGTTCTAGGATGTAGTGGGCTTTCCTTAAAAGAATCATGTAGGGATCTCATTTGATGTTAAGCTGGCTGGTGAGACCTCCATCATCAATGAGGAAAAACCTCAACATCCAATGTAACCTTCCCTGTCCACCACCTTGAAGAATCTGAGGGGCAACAGAAAGAGAGACGTCTGAGAATATGGGGTAGATGGAGCTGTGAATGTATAGGGCTGACTTGAAAGAAAGCACACAGCAGCTAAGGGAGCTGTGATTTTTGGCAGGTGGGTGGCAATATGAGAGCAGGTATATGGGCTTTGATGGAATGAGTAGCTGGACACAGTTTT